AAATGATGAAGATTTGATGTGAAACATTACGACACTAATTTTGGTTTCGTAATGAGATACTTTATCGCACTAGAGCGGTGAAATGTTTACAGCACTGGTGCAAAGAATCTAGAAATATTTCGAATAATTTTCACAATGAAGGAATAAGAACCAATTGATCACAACATACTATTATCAATAATCTATCAACATAATATTTGAAATCTACAATATCTACAATAAAAACTAATTGATCATAACATACTATTTTCATTAATCTACGAACATAATATTTAATATCTACAATTTCCATTCCCGAATTCAACTTTTATGATTGAAATTCATGTCGATACATTTTAACTCGAAAAAATTCAATGAGTGCTTTTTTACCCATTGTAATGACAGGAAAGGAAAGGAAAATATTTTGCATTTTCATGTTGAGAACGGGAGTAGATTCGTTCCCTAAACGCCCGAAAATAAGTAAAAGTTAAATTTTTCCCAATATATTTATATTTCTTTCCTTCAAACATTTTTTTTAAACAAAGTGTCACTGACAAGCTACTGGATTTTTCTTTTAGGCTCCCTAATAGAAGTATTTGTTAAACGCAGTGACATTTTGGGACGAAAAATCTGATTTGTCCCACTACAAATATATTGAAATAATAAGAATATTTTCAAATTATAGGAACACGGAGATAAAATCCCAAAATATGAAGTAAAATGAAAACAATTATTGAAATGATAATTTATAACGGGATAACTGAAATTGTGCCAGAAACTTTCTCAACAATTTCCTATATATTTTTTCCCGTCGATGGAAAACATGACCTCAGATTTTTCATGTTTGTTATACAGGGTGAGTTATTCTCACAATAACTCAACATAGGCAAAATACTATATTCTGGTCCTTATATTGGTTTCGTTCAGAAAGCCACTTGTTCGAAACCTCTGAGTTTGATTCACGTTACAAATTTGAACCAAATCGGGTAATCCTTGTATTCAATATGGCAGATTGATTTTCTGTCAAAATCCATAAATCACTCTGTATGCCAGTAACGAAGCGGTTTTGGACAATTGTATATGACATTTTGCAATATTATCGGCAGTCCCTAAAACCCCATAAGTTTTGTCGGTTTTATCTCCGGACACCCTGTAATAATGTTTTACCCACAAATGCCGAGTTTTATCTCATGAGTCTGCGATATACACTGATAAAGTTTCTTTGTCCATGCCATTGTTTGCGTGTTATTTCTTTGAAAAACCCTTTGATGGTCTGTGAACGAACAGCTGTGCCGAGAATGAGGATCCCCAATCCCCATCTCCGTTTTTTTCGAATCCAGTTCATTCACTGAACAAAGACGGAAGATATTTTGTGCAAAACCTTATAAAAGTTTTTATAGTCTGAGAAGAGGAATTACCTGAAGGTGGTAATAACTTTCTTCGTAGGTATATCAATAGACGGAATCATGATGAAATTCAACAGTATTGTAGAAAGTTTCTGTTCCAAGTCAAGATATGTATATACTAGGTGTCCCAGAACAACGTACCATGAATCCTACAGATTGAACTAGAGACCGAAACAGGCCGAGTGAAATCAACATCTATACGAAACATTGCATTTCCAGATTCACTTCAATATTTCGAAATACTTGGAAGGTACTGCTCTGAAATTAGTAGGACAATTCACATTCCTATAACAAATATATTTTTCAGTTATAAGTTTTGTGATATTGTTGAAATAACATTGCGATAATGTCCTTCTGATGTATCCAACATAATATTAAGAAGTAAAACGTTCATGAGACGTTGCATCAATATTGGAATCAATACCATTAGATTATATTGTGATATGTTGATTTTAGGTTCATCAGATATATCTCAGACAGAGTTGTTATGTTATTTGTGCAACGTTTTCGTTTCACGACCACCTTATAACGTAGCTTACATGTATAGAGGATAAAAAGGGAGAATATTTTTCCTTCTTCGGCAAAGTATTATTGTCAGAAATAGAAATGTAACCAATCTGTATCTGCATTTCATAATATGTGAAAAAGTAGGAGGGATTCGTAAATACGGATTGTGTTTATATTTCACGAATTACAAAAATAATGGGTGAGTTATATATCATAGCAAGAAGAAGAACATAGAATAGAATTTCAAAATAAGTCAGGAAACTTCCAAAAACTCGTATAGGTATATATTCATCTACTACTCCTCAGAATTTCAGTAAGAGATCATTGGATTATGCAGAAATAATATAGCTAAGCTAAGTATAACCACAGAACTCAAAGACCTAGAAGGCCAATATTGTTTTATTTGAGTGTTCCCTAACGTGGCTCGCACGGCATGTGTGAGCATGCGCAGAAGAGAAGGTACTATGCCAGGGGCGGCTTCAGAATTATTCGATTACCAGGTTTCTGTGGCTTCTTTGAAAAAGCATGACAGTGTGAAACATTTATATGATATTCATTATCATGGAGTTTTCATGATATTAGGAGTAATGTTTTGACCTATTTTTTCATCAACTGAACAGGGTGGTCCAGGACATACTAGCAATTATTCTCTATTTGATGGTTCATCAGAAAATATAAGTCAGTAGTATGCAAATAATACTTTTTTCCGAAACGGTTCTTCAGGGAGGTACAGCTCTTCAACGTTCAGTTTTAAAAACCTTTTTTTATGCTATAATTCTTGGGACATAAAAGTGGTTACAAGAACTTTTGTTGAATGTACAATGGATGAACATTTGGTGAATGAAGTTGGGAAATGGATGCTCGTTGTTTGATGCAAGTGAATTTTGCTAGAATTTTTCAGTGGCGTAGATACAAGGAGGTTGTTTGACTTTTCCCGGCCTATTCATTAAACCACTGGATATTTTTCCAATTTCCCTGTTCAGTTTAGGAAGGACACACTAGTAAAATCTAGATTCTTGGGTTCGTTCACGAGATAATCGAATTTAAAAAAACAAACGAGACCTCGCGAAAAGTTGATTGTTAAGTTTTTAAGAAACGATATGCACTAAATGAATTCTAACAAACGTTGAGTGGCAAATTTCAACCCAACAAAGATCATGGTTTGTGGCTATTTCAGAAAACAACGCCTCACATCGAAATTTTCTTAAGGTGCTTTTTCTTTTGAATTCAACAGGGAATTTGAAAACAAATGTCAATTTGAGTTACTCACGTCAAATAACGACTACCGGCGCCATGTCATAAGATTTTTTTAACAATCCTTTAATGCCCTGAGAGTTATATGGCAGAAAACGATGTTTGGAACTGAACTTTATTGTAGAGATGTATCTACTTTAGGAAGCGTTTTGGGCAAAAATATAATATGCATGTCGACTTATTTTCGATGGACCATCGAATGATAAATCATTGCAACTTCAACCTAGATCACCCTGTATTATTTTTTGAATACTGATTTAAAGTAATCTCAAGGTCACCATCAACAATGATTACAATCTGTTATACCGCATACACGCATTCATATGATCACCTTTCAAGTTCAGATAATCAGTATTCATATACTACATACAATTGCAGCACAATACACTCATACTTTGATCAAGGTCATATGAATCATTCCCTAAATACGATTGAACTAGTATCATCGACCTTGGTCAGTCTTAGCCTCTGATAATGACAATTGTAATTTCGATAATTACCCTTCAAATGCCCTTCAGAGGCTGCAGTACCGGTCAAGAATCACTACTTATACGTGATGCAAACTGCTTTGTTACGAATTAGAAATAGACTGTCGGTCATTGTCGAAAATAATCAAATGTATTAATAAGGAACTGCTCATATGGCTTATACAGGGTGAAAAAAATCAGAATTTCCATTGATTCGATAAAATGTATATCAAAATAATGAAGAGCATTCAGAAGCGAATTTCTTTCATCTGTGATTGAATCTAAGAAGTCAATGAGAACTGAGTTGCATATATTCCCGAATACTTGTAACCATTACATGTTACTGATCTAGCACCCCAATACGCTCTTCAGAGGGACAATTTCCTCAAAGTCATTCAGTATTAAGTTAAAATGATAAGAAACGAACATTCAGGAGTTATTAGCATCTAAATGCTCCTCATTATTTTCATAAACATTTTAACGAATCAATGGGAATTCAGTTTTTTTTTCATTTCACCCTGTATAAGCCCTATAAGCAGTTCCTTATTTATACAATCCATCAATTTCGACAGTGACCGACAGTGTATTTCTTATTCGGAACATAGCAATTTGCATCATGTTCAAAAATATTCTGGTTCATCCCCGAACAATCTGGATACAGTTTTGATCCCACTTCGTATATCCGTCATCGAGAATGAAGATAAATTTCATATTTCTGGATCTACAATCCTAATTCTTTCAATTTCCTTATTCAGAGTGCGGTATATAAGTTTCTGTACTGAAATAGTAGAGACGGCAACAGTGTATCTTGACCAAATTGGTTTGATGTTTATTTGATTTGAGTGGTGTTGAATAACAACTCTCTCGGTGTGAAAATAATATTTGCAGGAATAAATTCATACCATCGATATCAGAAAAAACACCACACCAATAGGTGTATATCTTGAAGGGGAAATATTTGTGTGAATATGGGGTGTTCATAAAATCATTAGCCTCATGAAAATTATGAAAATTGATCACTTTCATGATAAAAGTTATAAGAATAACACCTGTCGGTTTTATTTTATCGAAAAATATTTAGTTTGTAATTCATGAATATTATGATTTGAAGAGCACAGTTTGAATTCAAATAATGAGTATGAACAATCCTAATTCCGAATTCAGTTTCGACATATTATGTTACGAATTACACCGTCGAACACCACGATATCAAAGTTTTAATACAAATGATAAGTACAATGTTGGTATCAAATCTAATCAGTGTTAATTCTAATGGTCTGGTATTGAAATAAACACTATCATTTTTCTTAGAGTGTGTGAATCTATCACCTATTTGAGGATACGACAGAAATGCAATTTCTTGCATGTAAAAATTGAGCAAACACTGTAACAGTGCGATAATCATTGATTTATTCTTCATATTGAATTGGAACAGTATAAAGAGTGGAATCAGAGAAAAATTAAATTTATATTAATTGTTGATTCAGCAGTGTCGTCTCCTTCTATTTCCATTGAGAGTCGTTGCACATATCACAGCATCTGTTCGAACACCTTCCGCGATGCCCCTAGTGAATTCGGTTTGTAAATAGATGAATTGTCTATTTATTTCAGGACGGAGACTCTCGATGATCTGATCCAGGTTCTCATTGATTGACGCCAAAATGTTCGCTCTTTTATTATCTGAGCCGCATGAGTTTGTACGGAAATCAACGTGACCATTTCTGAAACCTACTAACATTGTGGCAGAATCTACACGCCAGACGTTCACCCCATTTTGTACTACACTAGTCAGATTTGCAGTGTGTGTGATAACCGAGTGAGCTGAAAAAAAAGTATGAGTGATAGACCGATAGACGAAAGAGTTTGAAGACTTGAAAATGTTAATTGTTCTTTCATAAGACTTTTTGGAGAATAGAATCACGATAGTTGAAGTATGAGTACACTATACAGGGTGATTCAGAAGTGAGCGACATCCTTTCAGGGGCGTATTCGTTGCATGAAAAAAAGTTCATATTGATTAGGGTCCAAAAATGCTTCCTATATAAGGGAACTACGCCCCATTGAATAGGATACCTCAAAGACTCTGAATTCAAAATTTCAAAATTTCATTCAGGGGCATCACATGCGGGGTAGGGTGAGTGTAAAAATATCCCTTCTTCTTTCGATATTCAGGTTATTGTGATTTCGTTCGAGAATTATAAAATGCTACAGTTTTTTTTCACGTGAAATAGGTACTATAAGTTCATCACGATAAAGCGTACCATTTAGGAGAAAAAATAATTTTTAAAACGAAATCCATATACCTGAATATCAGAAGAAGAAGGGATGTTTTTACACTTACCCTCCCCCGAATTTTGAATTCAGAGTCTTATTCACCATCGAATTTTTATGCCGTACACCAATTTTCAAAATTTGATTGTGAAGGATTTTGAAGTTATAGAGAAAATAATCGTCTTTGAGTTGTCCTATTCAAAGGAGAGTAGCTCTCTTAGGAAGAATTTTCAGACCCTCAATAATTGGAACTTTATGCCTTATTTTGATGCAAGGAATACGGCCTTGAAAGGATGCCGCTAACTTTTGATTCACTCCGTATATCGAAGAATGGAATTATAACTTGAAGAATGCAAGAAATGACTAACAACTATTCAATGAAATAGATTAGTATTTTTAATTCTCACAAATACCATACAATTTCATCATAATTTCCATGTCAATTATTTTTCGTTTCTTGAATATCATTCAAAAATGATCTGATATTGCGAAAATGGCTGAAAGCTTCTACCAGTATACTTTGAAATTTCATATACTCCAATCAAAGAATATTATGATTACTCCAGTTGAACTATCAATAATCCAGTTCAGATGAAAAGATTGTCAGCATTTTATCTGGTAAACTTACGGACTACAATAGTAAACACGCCTGTTTCATCAATCACCATTTCATCATCATTGTTTGATGGATCTCGGATAGTTCCAACAGCGGTATAGTTAGCTCTGTGGACAAGTCGTGCAACGTTATTTGTGTAATCGACTATCGTATTGTTACCACAGAACTGCCACCTGGAAATATAGAAACAAATCATTCAAAATGGAATTTTTCACTATGTGTCATGGCCAGTACGAATGCACACATGAAGTATGCAGATCCATCATCATACTCATTATAACCTCTGACTAATCTCCTAATTCAATTTCCTCATGAAAATTCACATTTTTTGCGTTAAAGTATTGGCCTCTGACGAGTTATTGATAATCATATTGACACAAATAGTCCAGTCATTATAGACTTTGACCCGTGAATAATTTTTTAGTGGTTTTTTTCATAGGTGTCTCGGGGGGGGGGGGGGTCACTGGGAGCGTAAATTCAAAATGGCGACCAAATCATGCTTTTGCGTATGTTTTTCTTGAATAACTCGACCATTTTTGATTCTACAGAAAAAGTTTGTGAACAAAAATTGTAGTAAATTTGGTTCTCTACAAGTTTGGTTTCCACAATTTTTCTGATAGGATCGATATTTTGTAAATTAAACCTGAAAAAAGCGACAAATTCGAAATATTTCCATTATCTCGTTTATTTTCAACTTTACGGCATAAATGAAGAGGACTAAACTTGTGGAAAATCAAATTCTAAACAATTTTGGTTACCACGTTTTTGTTCCAAAAATCGATATTTTGGGAATTAAACCTGAAAAAAGCGACAAATTCAAAAGATTATCATTATCTCCAATGCTTCGCATTTTACGGCATAAATGAAGAGGTTATTCCGCGCAGGTAGCTTGTCTGTCATGTCGGTATGAAAATATGGTTCCGGAACTATTTTTTTTTTGGTTTCTCAGCTGATGGTCCTGCCAAATCCATATCCTCTCTCTTTCTTCTTCGGTCAATTGGTAATGTCCAGTTTCACGTTCGTTAAGGTTTAGTGTTAATGGTGCGGGATCGTCGATGTCGTTGTCATCATCACTGTCTTTGTCATCGACGGCTCGCAATTGTGTGACGTTATCGCAAGTCTGCCCAGCGCAGTTGTGGCATAAGACAGAACATTTCAGTGGGTACATATTTTCTGGTTAAATTCCGAAAATATCGATTTTCGGAAAAACAGGTAGAGACCAAATTTGTCCAAAATTTGATTCTATACAAGTTTGTTTCTTCTCATTTATGGTGTAAAGTTGAGAATAAACGAGATAATTATGATATTTCGAATGAGTCGTTTTTTCTAGGTTTAATTCCGAAAATATCGATTTTCGGAAAAACAGATGAAGACAAAATTTTTCCAAAACTTGATTCTCTACAAGTTTGTTCCTGTTCATTTATGCCGTAAAGTTGAAAATAAACGAGATAATGAAAATATTTCGAATTTGTCGCTATTTTCAGGTTTAATTCACAAAATATCGATCCTATCAGAAAAATTGGAGAGGACCAAACTTGTAGAGAACCAAATTTGCTACAATTTTTGTCCCCAAACTTTTTCTGTAGAATGAAAAACGGCCGAGTTATTCAAGAAAAACAGTTTTTTAACAAAAAAAAACATACGCAAAAGCTTGATTTGGTCGCCATTTTGAATTCACACTCCCAGTGACCCCCCCGAGACACTTATGGAAAAAAAATCACAAAAAAATTATTCACGGGTAAGGTCCGTTATTTGGATATAATGACATGGACTAAAATACAATTCTAAACATGTCTGTCACTAGTTATGTTTCATTCTATACAGGGCGAGTAATGCTCAACTGTTGATATTATTATCTCGTATTGAAGCATCCTAGTGCTAATAATGAATATCACAAATCATAGTCTTTTCATCTTATCGATAATATATAGGGTGATTTATGAACTTTGACAAAGAATCTATCGGTTCGAATTCAATTCGTTTACGAATAAAAAGATGGACTCATCTCAGAAAATATTTCGATTTGTTCAATTTCTTTTCCACACATTATGATTGGTACTATCCCATAAAACACAATTACGTCGAAATGATGTAACAATATTACAAGTGGCGAAAATTCGATGGAGATAAAAATGATAGAAAAACATTTGACAAACGTCATTTGATCGAAAGTAGTTTTGATAGAAACGCATTTGATCGAATAATTCTATGATGAAAAATAAATTTGATAGAAACATTATCGATCGAAAAAACAATTCATAGAAACAGTATCAGATAGAAAATACATTTGATAGAAACATCTTTAAATCGAAATAACATAAGCAATAATATCAATTGATCGAATTACATTTTCATCGAACTAATTACATGAAAGAGTGAAGATGAAAGATGAAATTCGTCATTCCCTGAAATGCCTAATCATTTCACGTATTGTAGGCAATCAGCGTAACTTCGTTTTCAGCCGTTACACTCTTTGCCGGAAGGTTGGGGGAGAAAATTATCATTTCTGCATAAGTATAAAAATGAAGACTACTTTTCGTAAACAATCTGACCTAACTCAGCCTGAATGAACCTTCTTCCTAGAAAGTATATTTTTTAGAAAATTACTTGAGATAACAAAATAGACTACTTTTCGTAAACAATCTTACCATTACCTAACTCTGCTTTAATGAACCTTCTTCCTAGAAAGTATATTTTTCGGAAAATTACTTGAGAAAACACAAGAAACTACTTTTCCTAAACAATCTAACCTAACTCTACCCAATGAACCGTCTTCCTACAAAGTATAGGTATTTTTCGGAAAATTACTTGAGAGAACAAAAGAGACTACTGTTTCTTAACAACCTAAACTTACTCGGCCTAAATAAAGCTTCCTCCCGTAATTGAAGAAAATACCTGAAATATTAGGCAAGCGGTGTACCAGATGTAGAGGTAAGCTGTTTGCAATATGTCGTGTCATAGGTTTGAGACGAATCGGTAAGTAGTTTGAATATTTCATGTAGTTCGATCATTCGATATTTCGATCAATTGATATTTCGATCATTTGATTTCCGATCATTTGATTTTTCGATCATTCGATTTCCGATCATTTGATTTTTCGATCAAATGATGTGTTCGATCAAAATTACCACAACGGTCGGTTCAGATAACTTTCAATCACGTTAAATAAATGCTGAAATGTCACTGACATACAAGTTGTTATTTAACCGGTACACAAACGTGTTTACAACTTCGTACTTCGATGATGTAAATGAGGACAAAACTAGATTAAATGAATATTGATTGGTGGTATGGTGAATAACCGTTCAGAACCGGTGAAAACAGTACATAATGATATCAACTTTTTGTTACTGTTTCAACTGACCATAATCAAATGTTGGGATCTGACGATTTGAATAAGTTGATGAAACAAGAATTTTCACTTCGGATCATTTTCGATAGTCGAATCTTCGGATATTCCAACGTTTCTTGAACGTTCTTTTTATTCAGATCTATCTCTACGTATCTCTATCAAAATATGCTCGCCTACTCGTATTTGTATCCAAACTAGAAACGTTCTAGTAACGATCCTTTTGGAAGTTCAATAGTTTTGTATACATGTACATATTATACACGTTCTCAAATGACGGCTACATCTTTAGGAGATAATATGATCTACAGAGCAGTCTAGGTTAATTTTGATAGGCTATAGAACAACGTGCACAGTATTTCCTGATGGAATTGAATTACTGAAATACACGTCTGATAACCGTTTGATGAATTCGAATATCAAATAATTATGTTTTTCACATCAAAATAGGCATTTGAGATTTGTTATTTTCTTCAAATTTTCAACAATATCAATATACGATTGAAAGACGTATCAAGTACCTACACCATTAGTTATGAATATGTCAATTTCATCAAAAGTTGAAATGATCAATGATTTTTTACTTCTAACTATTATTTTTCCGACATTCTGTACAGTTTATTTCTTTAATAGCTATTCTTCCGTACGTTGTGAAGCTGGCGTTTCATTGAGATAGAATGACATGCTATTGCCATACCTAACCCACCTAACCCATATACGTAGTGATAAACAATACGGAAAACAACGTGTGCCAGGAGGAAGCCAAAAATATGAAACAAATGATTATCCATAAGGATTTAGTGGAATGATGCGTATGCCATATACGTATTAATAATCAATACGGATAATCTCTATCTGTTTCCATAGCGAAACATGAAGCCGATTTTTGAAGACAAATGACTATCCATAAGGAAAAGTTTTGAAACGATCAGACACATACTGCTTTGATTGAAAGGCTATTAAACGTCATTGTCCACCGAAACGCATGTCTTTGATGACTACTATAATAGCGCATGGCGCATGCGTATCATGCCACCAAATCCTTATGGATATTCATTTGTTTTATATTTTTGGCTTCATCCTGGCACCCGTTATGATCCGTATTGTTTATTAATACGTATATGGCGTATGCGCAAATATTGTAATCATCACAGACATGCGTTATCGTAGGGGTGTGTGTTTTATCGTTTCATTCTGTTGTTTTTGTTTACGTTTCGCGGACATGTTTAGTAGCAGCAGTTTGGTCGATATTATGAATTTTCAGAGCATATATTTACCATCTACATTACCTATATTCCTCAGCATTCCTGTCTGAACTACTTGAAAATTACATATTCAACATGAAATAGTCATCCTAGCCCATTTGAAAATGTGGTTATATTGCAGTAGTAGTTGGAATAAATTGAATGTTTACATGTGGATAATTCTTGATGTCCTCTAAATGTCTTGTCAAAGATTGATAGGTTAGATGTTACGATGATGTGTCAGTCATTTGAACTTGCGCATTTGAGCATGCGCAGTATATCACCTCATGCTTATGGATAGGCATATGTCTTCAAAAATCGGCTTCCTTCTGCGTTATGGAAACAGATAGAGATTATCCGTATTGTCTATAATTATACGTATATGGTTATTGCATGAAATTTTCAACGTTTCGTTTCAACATTCAATAGTGGTTATAAGTCAACCCAAAGTAATGATTGTTTATTATCAAAACGCACAGTTGTATTCAATAAAAAGAATACATGTATTGAAAAGATGGGTCGACAACATCCTAGTTCTAGTTGTGTAATACTGGCTCATCTAATGCTTTGTATTTCTGACAATCCATGACAACTGTGAACATAATGACGTTAATTTCTCTCACTAATACTTGAACGCTTTTTTTGTCCATACAACTGTACAAATAAAGTGTTGATTTCTTGTTTTGTATTTCAATCTAATTTCAACGTTGAGTTTTCAACCATAAATGCTACTTCCACTATCCGTCATTCAACGTTTCATGTGTTCGGGATACGTCAATAGACCAATATTTTCAGAGTTGTGGAAATTCAGGGTGAGGTACAGTCATTTCGCTAAAATAAGCCCTATATTAATATATTATGGTATTTGCCGATTGATATTTGACATTCACAAACTGCACTAATGAGCATGGAAAGTGGAATACTTGAGTTTTTCTTATTCTTTCCTTGACTTCCCAAATAACTGACAATTTTGACAATAAACGAGACTTTATCAACGAGTGCAATTGGATTGTTAACAATTCGCATCAATGCAAAAATGTTATGAAAATATATTATTTCTTGAATGCTTTTGATCGATGTTGATCAACATTTTTCTCATTTCCAGGACTGGTTTCAGATTGTATGTTTACGGCAAACAATGGTGAAATTTACATCAAAAATATTTTCCAGATCAAAACTACAGTTATCTGGAGATCATAGTAGAACTACCTCCAATAATTATCCCAGACAGTAGAATGAATTGGATGATTAGGTGCATAGAAAAAGGAACAAACAAACCGCAACTGAATTGAACAAATGTGCCAAAAATTCGATGGACAGTATTCATCATCATACCTATACAAAATTTTCTTCTAAAACTGTCAAATGTTTGACTCCCTCTTATTCATGGTATCATTTCTGATTATGTGATGATGAATTATTCTGTTAATCATTTGTCTACGTGACCACTTACTCTGGACAGGATATCCAGATATGTGAAAGATGTATGACTGCGTCATTATGCTCGAGATACCCTTCTGTTTCCATGTTCTGATTTTATTCTGAATTATCCGATCCCTGATTTCACGAAACAAGTAAATACCTATCCTATACTCACTTTTTCAACTATAATTATGTAATTATGTGAAAACCGTTTTATTCACCATATTATGACAAAATTTACCTGACATCTGATACGATTGCATCGCCCACTCCATAAATTTCGTTGTTGTTCAAGGTGAGGTTAACCTGAATACCCGGAACATTGACATGATAGATCATCGGCTGACTAAAGCCGATAGGATTCGCAGACACTACTCCTGGTCCTGGCCTCGCTTGAATGATAATGAGAAAAATATGTCATTTAAATGAAAAGCATAGGTCTGAACGTCAGATTGTAAGGAGGTATCAATATATGATGAATTAGACTATCTATTGATTCAGAAATAATTCATTCATGTACACTCGATAATAATAACATTTCACAGATTTTACTGTTCGTTAAGGATCATAAGACTGCACCTGAGCATGTTGCATGTTTGTATTGTCATAGTATATACAGGTTTCATTTTGGCGATAAGTGTTCAAATACTATTATTCGAAAGAATATAATAATATAATGATTATTTTTATTCCTGAAGAATATTGATAAATGAAATATTCGAGGATTAGTAGATTCTGAAAAAATATCAATTGATTCGTTGTATTGTATATTAGAGTAGAATTTTATTGAACGAAGTTTTCGATTTATTTTCAGTATTCATTGAATTCTGTTATTTTCTTCATTTCATATGGTTAGAGATTATATCATTCAGGTCCGGATTTGTGGATATATCTCTGTGTGTGGCTTTTTCTGAATAATGGTGTATTAAGGGTGAAATTTCGTACTGCTCTAGTATTTTTTCACGGCCGATTAAAACGATTCGCATTTGAAAACATTCTAGGCATTGATAGGAATATAGGCTTCTAACATCAAGTATCTCTAGTTGTTTATATGACTAAACAGATGAATGAAGTTTTGTTTTTTTCTTTTCAATATTATTATTGAAAGTTTGTTTTGCATAGACTGGAGATGCATTGAATTATTGAGGAGATTACCTCACCGAGCCCCCATGCTTAGATACAATACCGCAGTGTAGAATCGGTCAGAGAATGATAAATTATCCCAAGGGTTTGATTATGTGAGATATCTCCAAGAGTTAGCTGCCTGAGCCTGCGAGTCAATGAAATATTATGCTTCTCCCATCTCAAGTGTTGGTCTATCATAACACCTCAGTACTTTATGTCATAAAATTTTCATATTTTAGGGCATGTGCATGGGTCTTGATTTTTGCAGTTATTTTCGTACTCTAAAATAGTAGTATGCCTAATGTTTGATCATCGGCTGTACTCCTATACTGTTCCTTGTGGCATACCAATTTTCATTTCCAAGGGATGACTTCAGTTTTCTCCCAACTTAACTCTCTAAGATCTCTTATTATATAGGTAATTTCGCAGGATATCCTGGGGATCCAAGGGATAACTTCAGTATTCTCCTAACGCAACTCTCTAAGATCTCTTATTATAAAGGTAATTCCGCAGAATATCCTGGGCAGGTCTGAATTTATCAGAATTTCGATGAGATAAAATTTAACGAAACCCATCTAGGTACTATTTTTTGTGATCGAAGATTAGTTGTATTAATTCTTTTTTATAATGAAAATTAACATAAATGTCATGAAATTTTTCAAATTTATATATACATTATGAGAATTCAATTTTCCAGATTTTTGTAATATCAAATTTGCACTCATATCTGCACATATTTACTCATTATAAAGACAAATATTGTTAGAAGGAGAAAAAACTTGAACTCGAAATCGTTCGACCACAAAATTTGATATAATAACACCTGACATGCGTGACTATAATTTCAGCTCTACGGCCATCTTCAGACACAATGTAACAGAAAGTACCGAGAAAATTACAAGTTAAAAAGTGACTGAGAAAAGACATACCTCTTACGGAGAAAATATTTTTCTGAAATTGAAATGATCAGGTCACTCACAAGCCAGAAGAACATTACTCCAAGTAAGTTCAACATCGGAAAGTTCAAAGAAATAATTAATGAAATCTACTCAAAAGAGCAGTAAATAGAGCAGTAGAAACGGAAGTTGTGATTTGACATTTGACTTAACAATAATGACAATTTAATACTCAGAATGAAAATTGTTGAATGACAGTCAATCATATGGAAGTTGAGTTTCCAACACGCAGAATAATATGAAAGAAAAACTGAAAGTATACAATTCAATATAAAACAATGTAAAATAACCAATCATTTGTGATAGAGATAACCGCGAAAAGGTCTAGAAGAACAATAAAAAATTTGGAAAAAAAAAAAGAACTGATTATGGAAAAAATGAGAAGAAAACGAACCAATATTCTGTCAAGATAGTGGATAGAGGGCAGGCTCTGGCGCAGAAAAACCAATGTAATGAAAATTATGGAAATTGTAATGTACGGAAAATATGATTACTTTTCGAGTGTATCTCTATCACCATAATGATTGGTTGTTTTACGTTGTTTTATTTCGAATTGTATAATTTCAGTTTCACTTTCATGTTATTTTGAGTATTAGGAACCCAACTTCAATAATATATGATTGACAGTCATTTGAAAATTCTCATTCGAAGTTTGAAATTGTCATTATTGTTGAGTTAATTGTCAAATGATCACTTACACTTCTACTGCTCTATATCTTTCCTGTTGATAGCTTTACTGCAGAGGAAGCTCCTCTGAGTTGATTTTATTAATCATATTCTTGAACTTCTCGATGTTGAACTTACTTATAGTAATGTTCTTTCGGCTTTTCAGCCGTTTCAAATTCAATTAGTACCAAGCTGAACGTATGATTTTATGAGTGACCTGATCATTTTATTTTTAAAAAAATATTTTCTCTATATGAGGTATAGGTTCTATCTCAGCCACCACATTGTTTAGACCCAATAACTTGTATTTTTCTAGGTACTGTCTGTTACATTGTGTCTGAAGATAGCCGTAAAGCCGAAACTAAGTGAGAATGGATGGTTTTTATGACTCACTGTCCCAACCTTCTTTCTGGTGAACCATGTCAAATATTCACTTCGGGAATCTTCTTGAACTATCTTTACAGGAATGAAATGAGATTGTTATGGAAATGATTATAATGGGTATCATGATTCCAGTTACATGGAAGAGGGTTGCCTGATTAATATTGATGATAAAAATCATCATGAGCAACTGTTATTTTCTGACATTGATTTCTTCATCAGGAAAAACAATATTTTGAATTCGGCTGATTTTGAATGAACCAGAATTCGTTTCACAAGTCCCGTAAGATTTGACTAACTCTGAATATGAAGAAGACGATAACATTCATTTCGAAGATGGCAAGTTGTAATATATCAAAATATCGACTTACTATCTCTAAGACGTCTGAGATTCATCTGGATAACGTCCCGCAAGCATGCCGGGGTACTACAGCATGGGTGCCCCGCTAAAAAAATAATAAAGATTAGATCTTCGATCATTCGATCATTCGATATTTTTTTTGAAATTCCAATCAATCACATACTCGTGAAACATCTATGTAGGAATTCATTTTCTTCTTGAATGAAACGCCTTGTACATAAATTACATTGGTACCTAATTCCGAAGGAAACTGATTCTTTCGATAGCCAAAACAAAACTCGCGAAGACACGTGAGGGTAGTTGTTTACGTTAATATGGTTAATACCATTAAGATTAAATGGTTATCGAGAGCTTCAGCATCTTGTGTTCCCCATTTTCATATAGTTCTTTGCCGAGTATGCTCAATAGTATCTGCATGTATCTGTTCCTCCTATTGAAAAAGTTACCTTCAGTGGTTTACTGACTTTTGGTTATTGTGACTTTTGTGATTGTGAATTATCATCATTCGAACTTGGTGAGTCTGCTCACGGGCAAGATAATATACCTATGCACTTGCTTTTGATTTGAATATTATTCAATAGTAGTTGATACTTTACTGGTTACAATGAGGTATTCATATGTATCTTTCGTTCAGATGCTAGACACAGTCGTTCCTGTCGATTTTAGACGCTGATGTTCACTGTCGCACCCATATTCCTGTTATTCGGAATATTATTCCTGTTGTTCGAATAAATATTTGGCATTGTCGTTCATGCCCATATACTGTCGTTTAGTAATTTGTAATTGTAATCATTAAGAATCACTGAAATGGATATTGCTTGATAATTACATCAACAGAAAATCAATGGATAAATAGCGAATGTTCACACAATAAGTCAGTTAGTCATTCATTTATTCAGGAGAATTTCCTGCTCTCAAGACATGATGATTCTTTTACTCACAGGTAGATATCAAAAGTGTTAACCAGAGATGGCCAACCAAGTTATAATCAGATAATTTCAATTATTTAAAAGCTTCACGAACGATAAGATTTCCACAAATTCTTAATAACACGACATGTTCCGCTAATACAGTAGCTTCCTCAGATGAAATACTCCATATTTCTATGGATTTCCGTCAAGTAACGGTCGAGTCAATTCAAAATTTCAATGATAGCTCAGTTGATTTAGGTAGTTGATGAGTTCGTTGATTATTTCCATTCCATTTTCAGAGAGCCTTCATTAATAATGATGAGGTCTCATCGATCATCTCAGAAATTTCAATGAAGTGAATTCATTTCACCTGATAATAGTCATAATAGATCGATGTTTATTCTAAAAATGAATAGTTCAGAGAAATTACTCCGTGAACAGCATGTAAATTCATCATAAGATGAATAAAATTTTATGAATTTTGCTGCTTCTTGGGTATACCGAGTAATTCAAATTCGAGGTCCACCATTGGGATCTCGGACTTTATAGGAGTTATGAAGATGGTCGAATTAGGGCAAAGTTGCGCACTTACGTGACTGAGAATATGCCTTCGAGAAAACTTTCAAATTCCGAGTATTTCTAAAGATATACGGAAAAAACAGAAATGTTGTTAAACTAATTTTCCTACGAAAATTGAAAATGAAGATATTTAGGACTAACTGAGTGATCTATGCAACTATTCTGTCTTGTCTCATTTTTTAGCATTATTATGAAATCTTGATTATCAAAAACCTTTTTTTTTATATTAATAATATGGACAAAACACTCGTAGAAAGAACTTTGATCTTAACTCAGGCAAAAATTTACTACTTTCCCCACTTGTAAGGTGAATAACAATTTTTTTCCTGGCCGAATTCGTTGAAGAATATCAAAATTGATGTGTGCATACATTGCTACTTTTTCTCTGCTATACGATGACATTTTCAGATTACTTATTCGTCTTTACGCTACCATCATCAACTTCATTTTTCCTGATGTTGCCATTTTGGTTTTTCATTAATAATAATAGCATTTCTTCTACTGATTTCAACGATGTATAACATAATGCTATAATACGCAAGCTCACAACCTCGAATATTTAGAAAAAACAATATTTTGTAGTTGGCCTTGACTCCGTCAAATATCACTCGTCAAAATAATCGATCCGTTGTATGTGATTGATTCTACAGCAAAAATTCTACGAAATAATTTATTAGAAACGAAATGGAGGAAGCAATATTCCCTTGATTCGACAATGTAACCACCAACATTCAGCAATAATATCATATTGGCAGATGTCATTGCCTACTTGATAACTTCCATTATCGATCCAGAAAGTAATATTTGAGTCGAATTTCACATTATTTCAATTTGAAGATACAATTTTTTCTTATACTTACGTGCTGCTTGACCTTTGATGAGGGGCAAAATGCACAAAATCAGGAAGGCGTTGGAACGTGAAAGCTTCATTTTCGGCTGCTTGGCTACTGATGTCTGGAAACAGAAATCTCTGGATATTTATATATCCCTATATAATCAGTTATTCCATATGCGCATTTATTTGCAATTATTCGGTAGGAAAGATACAGTTCATGAATTCAATCGTTTCTATTTGAATATTTTCAGTGGAATAATTAATATTATGTAGAAATTATACTAGCCACAGTCAGACGGCAAGTTTATAATCATTACCTGCTGATGTCGATATTAGTAAAGCAGTTAGAGGAATTAGAGTGGAAATAATTTCCACAAAAACGCGGTTTCCATTTTCTGAAGCCTCATTCGATCCCTTACACTATATTAAAAATATAGATGCATTCTTTCATGCAAAAATGTTTTTCTTATTTCAGGTGCCCAAACCGAAATGATTGTTTCACAACTCAACACATGTTCCGCTACCTATGTTAGGATCTTCAGGATAAAATTCAAACGAATTTCATTATCTTCCTAAAAATGATAATATGGTAGGCAGATCTCGAAATTCGTGTCGAGGTATGAAACAATCATTTTGGTATGTGATTGAAACTAGAGTCACTGTATGGTATTAGTTATCAAACTAATACCATCCAGTGACTCTAATTGAAACTATTCTCTGTGATCGTGAATGAAAGATTCCATTATTTGATATACTATTCCAGGTATACCTAAATATAGTGAATTAAAAGCAGCGATGGAAGATAACAAATGTTTATTATTTTCGTTAGGTACTGATGATAGTTCGATTTGTGTTAAATTGACTGCTAGAGGTATCCGAGGAATTATAAGTTCTAGCAAGTAGCAGCAAGACAAAATAATTGAACTCTTGGAACCAGTGCCCATTCATCCTCTAATTGATCACGTCGAATGTCGTCGTTTGTACGTAAATCCGAACAAGATAGAGAATTATCTCATTTTTAAATCAGATCCTGATAGAGAAACATCAACTAGTAGCAGCAGCAGCAGCAGCAGCAGCAGCAGCAACTGAGCTTTGTGATCTGAGCTGCCGACATTCGCATTCAAAGATAATTGCTTGTTTTGTGGCCAATTCATCATGGAAACTGAGAAAATAATTAAATCTGCCATTTTACCAGTACGAACTTTCGCGTTTCGACAAGCTATTATTAATGTGTGTCATGCAAGAAACGATTCTTGATCATCAAATGTCCTTGCACGTCTTCTCTTCATTATCAATACTTGTCAGCAGCAGATGCTCTGTATAATCAGAAATGTAGTGTTAATTCTGGAAAAGGCGACTCTATTCCTAAGAAACATCAACATGATATTCCCAATGGACAGACAAAGTTAGCAGGATGCCCTTCTGATAAAAATAAAGGAGATGCCTTCTCAGAAATATGCAGGTGGCTCAAGAAGAATGATGAACCAATTTCAGTTCAGGAGTTGCTGAAAAAAATGGCAGAGCTACTGCCAGAAATTATCGAACCTTACACTGTTCGTCGTATGCGTAAAAAATTAGAAGAATATTTCTCGAATGACAGTATGATATTGTGACAAAAAGGTTGAGCTAATATGATCGTAACAGGGAAAACAGTTGCCAATATAATTTTTGATTATCAGCGACAAAAGTGTTCAGAAGATCTAGATGCTGAAATATTTCGGATAGTTGAAGCAACAGCTAAACTGATTTAGAATTTAATCAAGTTGATGAGAACATCCTTAGAGTTTTATATCTTGACATTTTGAAAGCATTCTTGGATATAATAATCAACAAAAAATCCTCACGTTTGAAGAAGAATTCAATTGAACAGGCACTAATGCAAGCTGCAAGGCCACGATCGATCATAAGTTCAATTCATCTAGGTGTTGGTGTGCAGTATCATCGAGATTTTTGATCTCGGTTATATATCGATGAACTTCATAAGCTTGGGTTTTCTGTATCATATGATGACGTACGGAAGTACTTGCAAAACTGAAGTAGATGAACCTTGTGGAACCAGATGTGAATGTCGACGATACGGAATTTTTTTGCACAGTATTGTACAATAATTGTTCGGGAAGGTACCAATATTCCAATCGAGGAAGTTGAAGATAATGAATGAACTTCTGTTACATGCCAAATATGCCATTTTTATTAGGTTTATGATTTATACGTATTAAGGAATAAACGAATATGAAACACTGTATTTTTATTTCGCACAAAGGTATCATCCTATATTTTCGCATATGTTTTATTCTATGCATTCTGAACTGAGAAAAGCAAAAAAAAAAATTTGTGGGAATTATTTCCACCTGAGACCATTTTGTATCGCATATCTACTACACTATATCTTCAATAGTTTGACAAAAACATCAAATGAGCCACGTCGTGAATTTATTCTTGTATTATTCTTGAAAAAAACTCCAAGTTCCGTCAAGATAGGCAGCAAAACTATAAATTATTTCTTCAATGAAAAACATTGATAAGGTGGTTAGTCTTCAAGATATGTTGGGCAATACTAGACTCATGGAACCTTTGAAGTTCCATTTATTCACTTAAACATATACAGGGTGTCCTGAAAAAATCGAGGGGGTGATTCCGCATGAGAAAACATGGAATTTATCCCATGTATACGTGGGTCCGAAATGCATAGTTTTCGAGATACTGTGTGTTGAACTTAAAAAAAAAATCGCTTTTTTATGAATATCCCAAATATACTTCCACGGACTTTCTTGAAATTCGCCAATTATATTTTTTGTCATGAATTTTATTTTCGAACTAGCAAAGTCTCTTTTTAAAAACAATTTTATTTGTCAAAGTACAAAAGCAGAGAGCAAATTTCATTAGATGTTACTGGTACAAAGTTATAAATCTGACTGACTGTGAGAATGAACAAATGTTACAAGAAGATTTTGAAGAGTCAGTGAAATTGAAGAGGTCCCTGGGAACGTCTGTGCAGAATCTCCAGTTCTTAGGAAGCTCATGGGAACCGGTGATATAATTCCTCCCCTCAAAGTTTCAACTTATGCAGTGGAACGAGGAAGTTGAACCTCTGCCAAATTTATGATTTGGTTTTGGTCGTTGGAGTTCTTGATCCGTCCTATGATGTTCAGATTTCTGATGATGGAATATATAATACCAGATGCTACCAGGATATACAGGACGATGGTCCAAATAGAGGGAAGATGAGAGATGTTGGTATTCTGTAAGTCTGGCTGGTTTTCGATGATTTTCTTCGTTATAAGGTGAAGATCGTCCAAATTTGTTTCTTCTAGGTGAATGGTCCAATTTTGTTTCCTTTCGAGGCTTTGATTCAGTTTCGGGAAGAGAATCAATTGACGTTGACTCATTGATTCCTCTTCATTGGCAATTTGTTCGGTGTTGGTTATAACTTGACATCCAACAGGAATTTCTACGAGGAATGAACCACATAATCGTAGGAATTCTTCTTGTTTTCGGCACTTGAGGCTGACCATCTCTTCGTGTGGAGATAGGGCTATCCATTGTTTGGATTCCAGTTGTCTAACGATAGGCTTTGAAATTCTGACCGGAACTTGTTGACAGTTTGAAGCGTGTTTCTTATCGAGAAGTTGGATTTCGCATGGGCCATCTGGTTCGACTGTCAACTCAATTTTCTTGCATATGAGGTAGTTAGGAACGATTTTGGTGCAAAGATCATCGAAAAATGCAAAGTACAGATCACTCTTCAAGAGAAATCTTTCTTTTGGTAAAATAGTCTCTAACTCATTCAGACACGGTACAGGTATTGAATATAATTGATTATAATTGAATTTTTCTGTATATGTAATAGGTAAATATAGAAGGTATATTTTAGTATTCTTGATGTAACATTCGATATCTATTATTTTTTCGATTGATAATTGATAATGGAGTAATTTCAAATGGAAATTGATCTATATTGATCGTGTTTTTGAGGTTTGAAAGCTCATTATAGAGATCTGAGATTTTAATAATACTCGGGTGCATGGTGTTTAATCTGGAAAAAGTCATTGAATTCTCAATGTCTTGTGAAACAGAATTTATTACTTCGTATTCATTGATCATATGGTTCAAAAGATCTTTGACCACCAAAGTGTGTGACTCAGGTTTTGACTAAGTCCTATGTATAAGGCAATTCGACTTTGACTAGAATAGAATGCTGGGGACTGGCTATACCCAGCAAACAAATCGTTGTTTTCACTGCATATCTGAATTCATCTCATCAAACTTCAGAATGAAAAGTTTCTGATTCTATTCACTGATACCTTTCCTGTGTGATTTCTAATAAAAACTTGTGAACTGGATATTTTGCTATTTTTGCAAGTCAAATCATCTGAATCTTCTCCAAAATCGATTAATCTCATGACTATGCATGCAAAATGTAGGTAATATAAGAGGGGGGGGGGTTAAACAATTCATCAGTGATATCATGCAAAAGTCTAGATTCAGGCACATTATTATGTAGGTAAAAAACTTACACCTAATTTCAAAGAGGTACCTACCTATGAAACATATAATGATATTTTGTGTTTGGAGTAGAATATCCATAAGACATTGGTAAAATAACCAGATTGAGTCTAACCTTATTGCTTCTATATATTCAAATGTAGAAACTTCACAAACGATAAGATTTTGTGGAAATCTTATCGTTTGTGAAGTTTTTACATTTGTCATGGATTTCCATCAAATAACGGCCGAGTCAATTCAAAATTCTATATATTCATTTCAGATGGGAAATTTTCCATTCTGCTCTCGAACATCATCATCCTTCTGGTACATTTCTTCTGAACATTACTCACATAATGATTCCTAATGTGATTCTTCCACATCAATTTGTTTGTACCACTCATAGTTTCTCGTTTTTTAACTCAAGAGCTATTCATGTAGTTACTCTTTGCTGTAGGTAGGTACCTGGAATGGGCTTATATCACGAACAATTTTCATTTCATAATTCGATAGAACTCACCCAAACTAGCTCACCACCGAAAACTGTTTCTTTCTGTGAGCTCCCTACGATTTATAAAAAAATATTGAAATCCCCGATTTTTCGGACCTCTGAAAACGAGGCGATGATGTGACGTCAAAACCCTAATACTGTGAATCAGCGCGAGATCACAGTTGAAAGAATCAATATATCAGTTGCCTCAGTCTCCGTCGGGCGTTTGGTATTTTCTTTCAACTATGGCGAGATGATTCTACGTCATAAGAGGGTCCGTTTTCAGAAGGTACCATCATTTGTGTCCAAAAATAAAACATTCCAATCAATTTTTTGATCGAATTATGTCGTCAATCATTATTTATGTATAAAAGGATCATTATAAACATGGTTGGAGTTGAAAGTTTTACTAAGGTGTACACGCCCATTTTCAAGTATAGTGATTCCGATGTGTACATGGTATACATCTCTAAATACATGTTTTCACTGCAAATGACGGATTTTTGAATTAACTCGACCGTTACATGATGGAAATCCATGATAAATGTAAAAACTTCACAAACAATAAGATTTTGTGGAAATCTTATCGTTTGTGGAGTTTTTGCAAATAACGGAATTTCATGAATTATATAGTAACTTATCAAAAATATAGAAGGAAATCAGCAGTCCCTACCTTTCTGCTTGGCTTGCATGTCGAAAAAGTGTAAAAGCACTGATGAGTTTCCGAAGTTACCACAGTTATCTTGAATTCAAGTTGCATCATGAGTCAACCTAATACAGCATTGCCTAAACATCTTTCTGCTTCCATTCAAGTATAGGTAGATGATTTTGAACAATGTTTCGGTTAGGAATAAAAAATGGATAACTTAGTTTACTTAGTTCACGTAGATGTCTCTGAACTACATATTTTCTTCATTTTTCTTTTCAATGAACAGACAATATTATAGCTCCTGCCTACTAACTACCTAACTAGGTTGTCATCTAGAACGACAATGATTCAACTGTGAGATTCGATTCAATGCGAACAAAACACAAGCAAGCCTTTTCTCTAGAAAAGCCGATCTCAATGTGCCAATCATAAGCTTGTCAGGAGTAATCATAACTTTGAACACATCCATTTCGATGCTTGGTATTACTATCAGCAATAACCTTTCTTGGGAAAATCACGTGAGATCAATTGCTAAAAGTGCATCTCAAAAACTCGGTTTTCTGTTTCGCAGGATGTGTGCTTCCTTGGGGAGGTATACTTCAGTATTCCAGGCAGAGGTGCATGCTATTGAGGCATGCCTGAGAGAGAATATTGTAAGAGGATAAAGAGGTAAACAAATCCTCATATGCTCAGATAGTCAGGCGGCCATTCAATCTTTAACATGCAATAAAATCAGATCAAAACTGGTCTGGGATTGCCTTCAAAGCCTGCTAACCCTGGCTAACCACAACAAGGTAACTCTTCAATGGGTGCCAGGGCATAAGGAAATTGAAGGCAATGAAGCAGCTGACGCCAGGAGCTATATCACTTTCAGTCAGCTGCATGTGATCTATAGGGCACAGATCCGACCTGTCCTGGAATACTGTTTCCATATTTGGAGTGCAGCACAGAATATCCCTTTTCGTGGGAACCAGAACATAAAAAAAACATCAAAGATGCAGGTATTGAATATTGTTCTATTCATTGAATGTTGTGGTATTTTCCATACATTTCCAACACAGGACACAGGCGATTAGCAGTTCATCAGAGTGTTGCAAGATCCTGATGGTAGGAAATAGTATATTGTTCAACGAGCACGGAAAGATCGTGATTTCCTACGAGAATGAAGTTTGCAGTGTGAGCCATAAACGAATGCTGCAATTATTCTAGTAGGAAATTAAAATTCCGTGCAAGTTATACACTATAATTTTTCTACGGCTGTGACAGATAACAGCGGCATTCTCGATTTCTTCGGCTTGTAGCCATCTGATTTCCTGTCAAGTAATGCTCATCTACTCATCTATTAGACAGAGCTGTCATTGCTTGAAATTTGACATTCTATGGGCGATGAGTTTTTCTTGAGATAATAACACATTGGAGTCATTGTGATATCAGATACGGAAATAAACTTGATTATACAATCTTGTGATGGTATAGCCGTAGAAAATGGTATATTACATAACTAGTGTGGAAAGTGACATATTTCGCGCGAGTGGACGTTTAGCACGTGCCGTAGAGCGGCGAATGCGGAAACGAAACGAGCGCAGGAAATGCACTTGCCAACGAGTTTTGTACACTATTTTTCCTACGACCACAAATATTTATATTATATGTCATGAGTGTTTATAAGACCAGAGTAGGGATCATCTTTCATATTCGATCACATGAAGGTAATATCATTATCATTATTGTTCAATTTTACTTCAATATTCAAATTACATCATAAGTTCAACGTTAACTTAACATTAACTTAATATGGACATAACATCAACTCAACTTTAACTTAACATCAACTTAACATCCACTCAACATGAATTTAACAGTTCCTTGACATTAACTTGAGATAAACTCAACATTAACTCAACATCAACTCAACATCAACTTGAAATTAACCTAACATTGACTTGACATCAACTTAAGTCAATAATTATTCACATTAACTCAACATTAAATCAACCTGACATTATCTTAAAATCAAATTAACATCATTTAAATATCAAATTGACATTAACTTCACATTAATAACTAAACTGACAATACATTGACATCAATTCAACTTCCTATTGAAATCAACTTGATTTCAACTTTTCATCAACTTAACATAACGTTGGGAAGGGACGAAATGCTGCATAGAAATAACTATTACAGACCCTTCAACACTCAGCTCTACTGGGATGAAATGGTCTTGACTAACTGTCAGGAAGGCACGTTAGTGTGGTACACTGACGGTTCTAAGACTGATGAGGGCACGGGAGCCGGAATATATGGAGATAGACCCAGAACCAGGATGTGTGCTTTCTTGGGGAGGTATACTTCAGTATTCCAGGCAGAGGTGCATGCTATTGAGGCATGCCTGAGAGAGAATATTGTAAGAGGATAAAGAGGTAAACAAATCCTCATGTGCTCAGATCTTCAAAGCCTGCTAACCCTGGCTGACCACAACAAGGTAACTCTTCAATGGGTGCCAGGGCATAAGGGAATTGAAGGCAATGAAGCAGCTGACGCTCTTGCCAGGCAAGGGTCTGCGACGTTGTTTATGGGACCGGAACCTGTATTCGGTATCCCCAAAACCTCAATACGCGGCTGGCTGGCAAGGTGGATGCAAGAAAGACATCAGGCATACTGGAACAATGTCCCAGGACGAAGAAACAGTAAACTGATGGTTGGAACACTGTCCAAAACAGTGACTAACGACATTCTGAGCCTGAACAGAAGTCAGATCAAACAAGTGACGGGACAAATAACCGGTCACTGCCCCTTGAGGAAACATATGCATCAAATGGGCATCTATACAGACGAACCCATATACAGACTATGCAATGAGGAGGAGGAAACTGCCACCCATGTAATATTGGAGTGCGAAGCACTAGCGCGTTGAAGACAACCTTCTGGGAGCAGTAAACTCTCAGGAGGCATTTTCAAAGAATGATTTGGTGAAGAAGCTGCTAAACCTCTTCAAGGTAGCAAACCTATTCACCTAAGTCAACAGCATGATCAGGAATACAATAGGCCCAAAGGCTGCAGTGTTTTGGGCTTCAAACCCTGACTGATCATTCTGCTATTAATCAATCAATCAATCAATCAACATTACGTTAACATTAACTCATGTTAAATCGATACTAACTTTCCAATAACTTGACCATAACTTAACTTACCATAATTCAGCATAATAATCATTCATTGGTACATCATAATCTATAAACTGTTACTGTGCGATTTTCGAATATTTCCACCCATGTGAGTTCTACTTTCGAACTTTCCAACTGTTATATGTTGTCATAGTGAAACGAGTCACTTTCTCAATAACAAATCAATGTGTTTTGTGCTGTTTTAATAGGTGGTCGTAGGAAAACGAACTTTTCACGTGTAATGGCGCGTTTACATGACAGCTTTCGCCTATTGCGGAAAGCTCAAATAAAACGAGCGCTCTGTTCACATGAACTTCTGACAAAAGCGTGAGTTGACGAAAAACATTTCAAATTTGAAAATCAAGATATTCAACTAGGAAATGAAATTATCATTGTTCATGGAATTCCGGGAATATATCTGTTTCGAATAACGTTTTTCACATATTTAAGTACCTTCATCATCTACAATAATTGAACTTCAATCAATAATAAATAACTAATCGAAATCACTTGAAAAAAAAAACAATATATCAAAGAGTAGGAAACAAAACTAACCAGTTGACAAAATTCGGTAATCTTCATTGTGACCGTGAATTCTACAGAAATGTTATTAACTATAACTGGAAATTTTACCAGCATTTCACTATTTGCCATATTTAAATATGACATTTCTCATTACATTTGACAACAACTAACCTGAAAAGGTAGAACCCTGGAAATCGGAGCTTCGACTTTTTAGCATATGACCCTGATTCCCGCTTTCAAATTAATCGGCCAAAAGAATCACAATACGCCATAAGCCAACGAGATGCAAAAAGCCAGCATGTGAACGCGCCATGAAGGGTTCAACGATGTCATCAGATTCTTGTCAATGTAATGTTTTTCACAGCTCTTGTCAGTTTGAAGACCGTAACGTGACACTTACTCAGTTATGAAGTTATATGTCAGAATTATTCGTAGTTGGTCAAGTCAGATCACGTTTTCATTACACGAAATATGGCTTTCAAACTGCTTTACTGTGTGTTTGGACCAGTGACAATCCCTCAACGGTATATAATGATCGGTATGATCCAGCTAGCAATGGTGAATGCCTATCATTTTCGAGTAGTCCTCAACATCGCCATCACAGAGATAATAAAACCCAGGAATTACACTGAATCCGTCGATGCTTGTCCCAATTACGTATACGAAACCCTAGAAATCAAAGGAGGAAGTTACGATTGGCCTGTATGGATAGAATCATTCATACTCTACTCCTTCTACATCGGTTACTCCATATCGCACATACCAGGAGGGTGGCTAGCTGATAAATTTGGGGCCAAGCATGTGATGGGAACTTGCATCCTAGTCTCGTCAATTTTGAACCTGTTGTATCCATTGGCTATTTCCAAGGGTGGTTATAGAGCAGCTATCGTGCTAGGGACATTCGTTGGCTTGTTCCAAGGACCTTTGCTTCCAACAATCACAACATTCATTCAGTGGTGGGTTCCTATCAAAGAAAGAGCACTTCTAGTGAGTATAGCGTTCGGAGGATCAACCTTGGGTACTGTTACAGGAAATGTATTCAGTGGTATGATAATCAAACGTACCAAGAGCTGGCCAATGGCCTTCTATGTTTGGGGAATATTCGGAATGGTTTGGTACTCATTTTATGTATTCATGGTTTACTCCAAACCAAGAACTCATCCATTCATAACGGAGGGAGAGTTGCAGATGCTGGATGAGCAAGTGGAACACAGGAAAAGCTTCAAGGTTCCTTGGGTGAAGATCTTGAGGAGTTTACCAGTTTGGGCGTTGGTCGCTGGACAGGCTGTGCACAATTATATTTTTTTCACCGTGATGACCGACTTGCCAAAGTACTTGAAAGAAATATTGAAGGTGAATGTGGAGAAAAACGGACTTGCTACGGCATTGCCATTCTTAGCTCTGTGGATTTCACAAATACTATTTGCGTATTTTGCCGACTACATCGTTAACAACAACATCATAAGTGTATTGAAAGCTAGAAAATTATTTACGGCATTCTCTGCGGTAGTTCCAGCGTCTGTTCTAGTTCTGGTTGTATATATCGGTTGCAACCGAACTCTGGTCATCACATTATATACAATGGCATTATTTTTAGTTGGTCCATTTTTTTCTGGCATGAAAGTTAACCTGAACGATGTCACAATTCATTACGGTGGTACAATAGCAGCGATAGTGAGTTGCATAGCATCGACGACAGGTGTGTGGGGACCTCTAGTAGTGGGATTGTTAACACCCAATTCATCTCTGGGAGAGTGGCAAAGAGTGTTTTTGATAATGTTAGGCGTAGCTATATTACTGTCCATATTCTATTGTGTATTTGCCAGTGCTGAGAGACAGAAATGGGATTATCTTGATGATGAAATAGATGAAAATTAAATCAAATTATTTTTCGTTTCAATTTGTCAACAACTGCACGAGGTGATAATTCGAAAACTGAAAATGGGCTGTCTCGAATTTGACCAAGAGGTTCTGAACTAATCCCATGAAAATACGTCATAAAGCAATCATAAAACCAAATTAACACTAGGCCAATTAGGATTTGACTGAGGCAATTATGAAACGTATTGGCATTATTCTAGCTATGTGAAAGTAATTATTGAAACCTATAAGCCACTATGAATTCATCGAAGTCAATCATAAAATCTATAGGATTCATGAAGTTTTATTCAGAACCGTGTTAAACCCAAATCCCATAATATAAATGTTAGTATTTTTTTGGCCTTCAAACGACTCACGTTGAAATGGACAAGAAAATAAATAGTGTGAAATCAAGCGAAAAAATGAAGAGAATCACTTATAGTAGAAGATCCGAACCTAAGTCGACCTTCACCGAGCTGATAATAGAACGAAATATATTTTATCATGAATTTAGTATATTAGAAAACATATTAAAAATGGGTTGCCTAAAAAAATCCTGGGCAGACTATTATTAATTATTTTTCGAAAAATTATTTTTAATTAAATGTTGCAACATCAGGATAATAAAAAAATTGTGTCCTGACTGAAAGTATGAAACGTAAAGAATGTGCAGCCGTTGGGGTGTCTACTATTTACCTGGGCGAACTACTGGGTTGTCAGGTAAACACCCCAGACAGCACTGGATATTCATAGAATATTCTCTAAATATGCTAAAAAGGAGGAGTATATTCCGAATATTCACTGATTATTCCTAGAATATATACATGCCTCTGGAACATCTAAAAGGAATATTCCAAAGTGTATAGTCGGACATGTTCAGGGAATATTCAGGTATGAATCTTCCAGGAATATTCCCAACTGAATATTCTCTGTTGTATATTCATGAAATATACCCAACTGAATATTCTGTGCGGTATATTCATGAAATATACCCAACTGAATATTCTGTACTGTATATTCATGAAATATTCTCAACTGAATATTCTGTGGTGTATATTCATGAAATATTCCATGAATATTCCTATGTTTCCCAACACATAAATACCATTTATTATTTCAGAGATGTGAGTATCGAACATCAATTAGATGTAAGGGGATTTTGAAACAAAAAGTGTTTATGATCCGATTTCGAACAATGCTCTCACAAGAACTTGATATGTATAACATTATTCAATTCGATTACTGGCCTAGTGGTCAAGGCGTTGCTCTGATAGTCTTGAGGTCACGAGTTCGATCCCTACTTGGTTCACTTTTTTTTATTTTAGAATATGTTTATTGGAATATTCCAGGAACATTCAACATAGAATATTCTTTTGGGTATATTCTATGATTATCTGAGGAATTCCCATTCGCATATTTAGAGAATATTCCACAGATATTCCGGAATATTCCAGATTATTTCTAGAATATTCCAATATTCCAAAAGGAATATGATAGGGACATTCATGGAATATCTGGTGCTCTCTGGGACAGGTATATCGATGCCAGTTACTTTCACTGGATTGGATAATTTAAAAAAATGTATATCATCATAAGCGCTGTTTAATTGCGAACACGTTGATATAGGGTTGTCTGCGAAAATTCCGGTCCGATTAGGGGTTCTTAATTTCAACGCGCGTGGAAGTGTGTGACAGAGAGATCCGAGGTAAGTATACTGTGTGATAATAAAGGACCCAACATCGCAGTCGCTTGTGATGGGACCCTGAATAGTAGAAAGTGTGCGAAGTCAAATCCTGAAAACTATGGTTGGCATTTTGATGATTTCTTAAAACCAACAGGTTTTATCGGAGATCAAACTCCTTTGAAAATCCAGGACATTGTCGAAATGGAAGCAAATGAGGAAGAATCTAATGAATCAGACGAATTCGAGAGTCAAAATGATACTTCTGATGAATCAGATATTGAATAGAAAATATTTATTAGAATTTATTTTTCATTAATATTATTTTTGTATTTATACTGTTTTTTAATAAAATTTCAAATCGTAATACAAGATGTCTAGTCTATCTTTTTTGTTATTTCTTAATTTAAATTTTTGGCGGTCCACTTTGTTTCTATTTCCAGAAAGAGCAAAAAAATTTCAAAGTAAGTATTTGATATTTTTATTGTCTATTATAGATTATAGATATATCATTATGGTTATAACGCTACTGAAATATCAGTTGCTCCAAAATAACACGCACTGTTTACTATATGAAGGGTAGTAGAGGTACCTCTACCCTCCATAGTTTACACACCGAGCATGCGCACTTTCTACTATTCAGGGTCCCATCACAAGCGACTGCGATGTTGGGTCCTTTATTATCACACAGTATACTTACCTCGGATCTCTCTGTCACACACTTCCACGCGCGTTGAAATTAAAAACCCCTAATCGGACCGGAATTTTCGCAGACAACCCTATATCAACGTGTTCGCAATTAAACAGCGCTTATGATGATATACATTTTTTTAAATTATCCAATCCAGTGAAAGTAACTGGCATCGATATACCTGTGTTTACCTGACAACCCAGTAGTTCGCCCAGGTAAATAGTAGACACCCCAACGGCTGCACATTCTATACGTTTCATACTTTCAGTCAGGACACAATTTTTTTATTATCCTGATGTTGCAACATTTAATTAAAAATAATTTTTCGAAAAATAATTAAAAATAGTCTGCCCAGGATTTTTTTAGGCAACCCATTTTTAATATGTTTTCTAATATACTAAATTCATGATAAAATATATTTCGTTCTATTATCAGCTCGGTGAAGGTCGACTTAGGTTCGGATCTTAGACTATTAAGAATAAAAAATCGAGTCGTGAGAGCAACAGTAAATCAGAATTGTCAATCCCAAGCAATTCCAAACACTGCGTCTTTCAATTCATACCACCTGAATCCACCAAATAGCAAGAACTCATTAGGACCTGATGTTCATGAAGTACCATCAACGATTCAGAACGTAATGGAAAATACTTCTGATCATCGTGCTTCTGAATGGGAACTATAGGAAGCGAGGAAGTTGACAACATTTTTGCACAAATTATGTCAGATGGCGAGTAGAGCATGTATTTGAGAGAATGGAGCAATCAACACAATATCAGGCGAATTGCACTGAGTGTAGGTTGTCTATGTCTCCTACTCGGTTTCCTACTTTGAACCAATCACAAAATCCACAAAGTGAACACTGTAAACAGCAAGAGTAGGGTTATGTTAATCATGTTGATTACGTTCTTCTACACTCTACAACACTGCCAATGAGCACTAGCCAGGATATTCTTAAAGCTTTATAGTTTTATGAAGGCATTATCTTATAACCTTCTTAAATCAATCTTATCATTTTCGAAGCTTTGTTGTCATACCCAAAAGCAAATAGTCATTAGAATGGATTTGAATATGCAATAAGTACTTCAACAGGAGGACATCGTCACATAAAATGCCTTATCATTACCTAAAGGTTTTAATCAAGCATTAGAGAAAGAAAATTGGTTTTGAGTATATTTTGCGCCATGTTTACTACAAACAGATGTCGGCCATTGATGGAAATGAAAATTTCAAGCGAAAAATAGAAAAGATGCATTGATACTGCAGTCGAAAATGTTGTTTTTCCACATTTTTCAAACGACTCACCCATATTCAGCAAACATTCACACAGTTTTGTCAACTTTTTTGAAAAGTTATTGAAATTCACATCCAATTCTAACTGGTGAAGACACATTATTTCTAGGGCGCTGCTTTTTTTGAAGCATATCTGGTATGTTTTCGTCAAAAAAGTCGTCATCGTTTCCATTTTACAGCCTCAATCTTCACAAAAAGGACTATTTGATACAGTAGGGAATTATCATATCATACCGCCATGTTTAATCTCTTTCATAACTATCTATTGTTCTCTCTCCATTGTGACATGTTTGTATCATAATTAGTTCTGAAAAAAGATTATCATAAAACACGTTACGGACTATATTATCTTAACAAATGCTTACTGCGACTGATAAGGTTTTAATTCTAGTCAATGAGTTTTAATGTTGGCATAAGAAGTGCCGTTTCAAAACCAATTGGTATGAACTCGTCCTAAAAGGCTTTAAAGGAAGTTGTTTTGATAGGTTTTATTATTGCTTTGAGGCATATACTACAATAAATTCCTATTAGTTTTATGACAAGCTTCAAAAGAAGCTGTGACAGCATTTATAAAGGTGGGCCCTTTATAGTTTGAGAAGGTTGTTTAATTGTTTTAATGATATTATTAAAGTATAATAGTTTCGAAAAGGCATTTTAAAATAGGCTGTAACAACCTCCTGTAGCTAACAATAAAACTGATAATGTTATTTGGGAATAAAAGCCATCCACTCTGTATATATGTATGTATTGTATATGCATGATATATGTACATATATCCGGGAAAACAGTACTCCCTTTTTTCCCGTCGAGAATTAGGAGAAGTAACATATTATAACCTGTCAACAGAGATTGAATATTGAACTTTTTGTCTGTCACAGAAAAAACAGTTTTATTTGCGAACATTTGTTTGTATAAACGAAAATGCTTGTTTTGATGTCCCCTATCACTCCTTGCAGTTTGTCGGTATCTTTTCGGCACACCCCCTTTTTATATCGTATTTGGTTCAATCATCATTCGTTATTCAAAATCATCACAAATACTGTTTTCGAAGATAAATGATACTGAAATTCAGCACCTTCATTTTGTCTACAGAATTTCGACAACTTTTCGTTCCTGCAGAAGGTTCGAATATTCCGGTGACTATAATGATTATATTACAGTTCTTCCTTGGTAATAGTGTGCCTTCTTTGGCGTGCCACTGAATTTGGCACAGTAGTATAAATATTGTGAACAGAGAGATTTAACTTGGGGGCAACACGAGAAGATCTGTTGCCAAGAGTGCCCAATAATTTGTCCCTAAATGAGTAAACTAATGTCAAGCGGAGCTCTTCATCCTCATAGTAGTCGTTTCGTCTAATCTAG